GCAGTCTCCTTTCGATGTATAGTAGTTGTAGCTTGGTGCTGGGAATGGCAGGGCTCCCCGACGATGCCGGCGAAACGTATGGGAAAGCACCAAGTCCACGTTCCGACTTTGGAGAATATCAAGCATACTATGAACTTCGGACAATGTCCTCCTGCCAATTTGACCAAGTTGCGAAAACAGGGTCAAACATTGTATTGCATTAAGTTTAGTCTTGTCTGTACATCTCCAATAGTGCCATATTGCAACAAAGACTATGATTCCATGTTCAGTTTGGTTCGAGGCAAGTTGTTATCTGATCAAACACAATTTTGTTTAGTTATTATAGCTTAAATTGCAGGTGAAAATCAAGAAAGATTGTGGACTGATTATGCAAGAAGACAATGTAAAATAATTGAATCACAATAAAGTGATAAACTAACCAAATTGCCCATCATGACACTCGGGTTTAGGTAGACCAGAAAGATCGCCTTTCGGTTTAGTGAGAATACGGAACGCGCCGGGGGGAGGCAGGCGAGGAGTCTCCTGGATAGGCTTATCATTAATAGGACCGCAGGCCTCTGAGATGGGATTGAAGGCAGTAGAGGAATCAGCAGAAGAGCTGGAATCTTGCGAGCTGGAATGCAGTTTTTCAGCGTCATTTAAAGAGGACAAGTCGGAGTCATCAGAAAGGAGAGTGTAGGCCCTATCTGAGTCACGAGAAAGAAGGCCGTGCTCTGTGTAAAATCCGGTTGAGGTACGCACAAATTCGGAGCAAAGATTGGAGTCGGAGAGAAATGAGGAACGGAGAAGACTAAACATCTGATGAGTAAAAAAAGGAGGATAAAGCGAATGATGGTAGTCAAATAAAAGAAAGATTAAGCAGAAAAGAGAAATAAAGTATTGAGCACTTAGTTCTAGCGAATGGACCGTGTTACGAGGAAGATAAAAGAAAGAAATTATATAGGAAGCTGAAATCAAATAAAAGACAAAAACAGTGGTTGGAGGCAGACACGAAAGATAAAATAAATAAATAAGCAAATTGTGATGGCTACGATAGTCTTACAAATGTTAAGCAGGTATTCAACAAGTTTCAGAGTTGTAGAAAATCATTAAGGTGGTTATGAAGGCAAAAATAAATCAGAGAAAGGTAATAAAAGCTACATATAAAAATTATTTAGGGAGTAAATATTTCTAAGATAAGAAATTGAATCATAACCTACAATTTGTCTGTTCTTCCCTGCATTACCTTCATGTTTGGTACACCAACTTCTCTCAGATCCAATTTCAAAGAATTATCATTTTTTTTCATTACACTCGCCTCCATCTCCTGTCGTCTTATCGCAAGTTGTTTTGCTACCAGCCGGTGAAGTCGTCGAGTTGTGTTAAACAGGCCATTTTTAGAAGCTAGAACTATGGCATGAAAAAATAAATGAGAAAAGAAAACGATGAAAAAATGCATTCATGCGTAAAAACTGCTTACTTCTTGAAACTTTAGTGGCTTGGGAAACGTCTTCGATCGACGAGTCGTTCAATGATGAGCCAAGCACTTCATTCACGAAGTCCTGGCGTTCGGAAAGTGAGACCGCCTCGGTGTTGTGGTGATCTGTAGCTGCTGCCGATTGGTTTGGGCGGCAAAAGAACAAGTTGACAAGGGCCACTTTAGTTTCAGGACTAAGAAGAGCGAGCCTGGTTGCAGACCAGATGGGCAATCCATAGCTGAGGATATAGAAGCGGTCAAAATGTGATAAGGCTGCCTGATTGCTCTCGTTAAGCCTCCTGTACTGGATAAGGCAAAGAGAAGGAAATAGGCAAAATTGTGTAATTTTCTAAGACATAACTCTAGATTTCGTAGATCATGTAGACTCTCTAGTTTTAAATATGCTGTAGCAAGGATAATATAGTGGGATATACTATAGATGGGACTCATTGAAAAATAATAGGCTTGGTAACGTATCTCTGATTGCGTTTATTTAGCTTACTGGCCAGTCCAGCTAACGCCCAGAAGGACATCTGTTCATTTTAGATGGAAAGCAAAGGAAGCTGCATTCAAAGGTTCCTAATTTTTAAAAGGAAAAAATGACGACTGACCTAAATCGAACATATCATGGATTTAAAGAGAAAATCTGAAACATTTACTTATAGTCAGATGAGAAGCTACTTTGGAGGCTCTTAGCCCAATACCAAAGATAATTACATATGAGTAGGATGCATTTTTAAGCCAAATGAATAAGATATGAAGACCAAGATAGTGTGGCCTTTTGTGTGGTCGCAGTCTCCTTTCGTTGTATAGAAGTTGTT